CATAAGTAAATAAAACATAACCAAAGCATCTATGCTCCATCATTCATCTTCATTCTCTTTCACCGCCCATAGATGCTCCATCAAGTCAGGTTGATGCCTTTCATGAATATATGAAGATTGCATCTCTGTATATCGATTTATCATCCAGGTCATCATACGATCGTCCCTCACCAACGGTTCCGGCTCAAACGGTTCTCCATTTGGCCCCATGCGCCTTTCATAAATCCGGGTCAAGGCCGTGTTTATTGGATCCGATTCATAGACCTCTCCAACATCATAATCGTACTCATCCTCCATAATCATATTATGGAGGATGATGCAAGTCATCATAATGCTTCGGAGGATCTCCTCATCAAACATACGGGCCGCACCTCGAACAATCAACCATCGAGCTTGAAGGATGCCAAAACACCTTTTGACATCTTTCCTGTATCCTTCTTGATAGGTAGAAAATAATTTTTGCTTCTGGGATCGGGGATTCGGAATGGATTTGACAAATGTGGTCTACCTTGGGTAGATACCGTCAGCTAGATAATACCCCGTCTGGTAGACTGTATTGTTGACTTGATAGGTAATATTGGGGCCTTGGCTGCTCAAAACATCGTTGAAGACTAGAGATTGACCCAGGACGTTGAGGTCATTTTGGGCTCTGACAACTCCGAAGAAAGCATGCCAAACCCATGTGTCGAAGCCAACAACGGCTTCCAGGATGATACTTTTTTGGCCTTTTCTATTTCCGTAATCACCTTGCCAGGCAGTTGGGCAATTCTTCCATTGCCAATGCATGCAGTCGATGCTACCAATCATTCATGGAAATCCTCGAGCTTCGGCTTTTTGTAGAAGCCGTTGGAGGTCCCTGGGAGTAGGTCTACGCAGGTAGTCCCTAGTGTACAAATTTTCAACTACATCACAAAATCTTACCAAAACCTCCAACGTAGTGGACTTCCCCATTCGGGCAACCTCATCCACCTGATCAGCAGATGCTCCATACGCCAACATTCGTATAACAGCTGTAAGATTTTGCTCCGGAAGAAGGCCCAAAACCCCAGTAACATCACCATTTTGAACAAAGTATGCATCATAATTGCAAATATCATGCATTACTTTATTCAATGAGGTTGCATTCTAAATCATCTTCGAAAATCAACATCAGAGTACAAAGAAGTTTGGATAAAATAATCTTCCAAAAGATTCTTATCCCAAGAATGCCTATGTCTGTCCACATTCCGACGGTGGCCGACTTGTGAACTATGGCGGCGACCTTGGTTCTCTTCCTCTTCCATTGCCACTGCTATGAGAACTTGTTCATCGACTTGTCTCTGCAACTCATTGATTTCATCGGCTCTACGTTTCTCTCCTTTCTTTCTCTCTCTTGCCTCTCCAAGCATCTCCTATATTCTTCCATTGAGAATGAATTGAGTATGAATTCTAAACTCTAAGAAATGAAAATATTGAAAGATGTGGTGTGAGAGGTATGAGGTGAGCCT